AGAGAAACGGCGGTGTAATAGGCAAAAAAATCAGGCAAAACTCTTAATTAATTACAAAGTTGGGGTCGGCGGTGGTTATCTTCGTTTCCGGACAGCACGGTTGCAATGCGGATCCGCCGAAAGATGCGCTCCCCGGCCCGTAACGCGTAATTGGCCGGGCTGTGAACGCGACATTAGATCCTCGTTATCCTAACGAGCTGAAATAGCGCGCGGCTCTCGAGAAGAGAGTGGCTCGATGAAAATTCGCGGAGCTTGCACACACAATCGCACACATCGGCCAACCGAGCGATATGCCTCTCTTTTTTTGCTCTATTTTTTCCACCAAGATTTAGAGTGGTCGAAAAGGTATGAATCGGGCTATTAATCTGGCCGATTGTAGCGTACGCCCGATGGACGTTCCACTTTGTTCTCGTTTCTTTAACAATACTCGCAATTCGCGATATTACGTATCATCTGCCAACGATTTCTCTCGCGATTAGAAATTAGATATTTCTCTCTCTCTCTCTCTCTTTCTCTTTCTCTCTCCTTCCAATACGATCAACAAGGGAAATATCTGACGAATACACGAAGGATACGCACGTACATAGAGAACGATTACGTAGCGCGAGAATAGAACTAAGATGAGATAACCTACACGGGGTCCCGTATCGATAAATGTCAAACGCGTAAGAGAAAAGTGCGTAATGCATTGTCGAAGATCGGCTTGACGAAGCGATTGGTTTCGGTGTATGGATAACCGAAGAGGGCACAAGCCGAGGGATGCAGCATTAAACCGATCCAAGTGACATTTTACGGACAATGAGTTTTTCTTGCAACGTCCCCGATGTTCACGCACGCCAATAAAACGGCCGCTAACGTTCCCGTCAAACGATTTTTCCCGCCAACAAAAACGACCCAGCTACGATGCAACCGGTACCAATGACCCTAACGAGGCCCCTGTCTCGCCATGTTCGAACATCGAGTTTTCTTAACTTCCTAGTAAATCTTCCTACTAATTTTCGAATCCCGGACAAAACACGAACCATGGTTCTTGCACAGTTGACGTTTTTTTCCCCCATACTTTATGACGAAACAATTATACGACAATTATATTCTTTTTTTTCCTCCCCGCTCGAATAAAAATTATCGACCAGACGATTCAATCCGTCGATTATCGTCCATTTCCCGAAATTCTAATTTAAAATAAAAACGGGCAATTAAAATTCGATGCGACGCGAACGAATCTTGATCCTTGGCTCGCCAAAAATCTTTTCACGCTGGCGAAATCGGGCGCTTACTCGTTACGACATAACTCATACGCGAGGCTCTTTCACGTCCATTGGCTGTGCCGCGCGCGATGAGAGACACGCGTTCACAAAGCCTCTTTTACTCGCCACGTACGGGGTGATCTATTGGCGAGACATCTGCCGCCGTGTCGTCATAGAGACGACGCATTTACGGGGAGCTAAGTGGCCTTTACCCGCGGGTTCCCGAAAGCGGCGCGATAAATTTCGCTTCGCCTCTCGCGCGGCCCGCCTTTAATTTGACGGGTTGGAGCTCGTTACTCTCGTTAGCAGCCGATGCGAGAGGAAACCGGAGGCTAGAAGAGTAACCGTGGCGCGCTTTTGATCCACCCTTTGGATCCAGGTGATCTCGAAACAAATTTCATCGACCCTCGTTTCAACTTGGAATTTTCAATATTCACACACTCGTATCTTCTATTCCAACGGAAATAATAATCAAGATTTCGATCCTTATTGGCGACGAAGTGAGTTGATTAATCGTCTTCCCTTAATGATTCGTCGAATCATTAACTCCGATCGATTAATACAATTTCATCAAAGACGAGAATAAACTCCTCGAAGAGAATTCCACTCGTACGATATATTAGCTCGAGTTAACGTCGTTTCCCAATTTCTAGTCTGAAACGCGCCACGCAAAGTGGCGGAAGTAGCCGCTAGTAGGTTACGTAATAGCTGATATTGTAATAAACATTCGGGTGAGGCGCCATTAATTGCGAACGTTCGCAAGGTGGTCGCGAACCGCGCAAGAAGGTGAAATTTAGTGAGCCACTGGTGGAAACGTAGAGACCCCTAATGGCCATTCCGATGACTATGCTTCTCGACCACAGTGGCAGCTCCCTACCATCGCCATCCCCTTGGCTTCCTCTTAGGCCACCCTATCCGCTTCCACTCCAGGGGTTTCCACTCGTTTTCTCCACCACTGGCTGGCACTCTTGCTACTCTCTCTCTTTCTCTCTCGTATGTGCAACCATGTCCCGGCAATTACGCATCGTAGCAGTTAAATACAATGGCCAGGACAACGACTCTGTAATTTATCCCCGGTTTGGGCCACTATCCGTGCGTTTGTTTCCAACATTGGAAGAGAACAACCGCCAACGTTTCGTTCCCTCTTTCTCCCCGCCTCTCTCTCTCTCTCTCCCTCCCTCTCTCTCCCTCCCTCCTCCCTCTTCCACGTCCGTGGCCGCCTCTCTCCAAGTTCTCGCGTCGTTTTACCCCGCGAACGACCGCTAACCCCGTGTTCTCCGCGTTTAAATTAATGATAATTAATAATGGCCGACTCGACTATGGATGCCGTTCGTCAGGGTTGAAATACGCGGACCTCGTATCTCGGTGGATTTATTGGGAATATTAAAAGTAGACCGTTTCGTCGAATGAATTGAAATACGCGTTCTGGAAATCGATATTTATCGATAATTGAGAGCGAGCCTGAGGATTAATATGAAGAGATAAATGTGATGGTATAATGACAGTTTACGAATAAATGTTCTGAGAAAATGTTAGGAAAATATTTTATGCAAAATAGGCAGAGGAGAAACGATCGGTGAAATCGAATTTAAATTTTATACTCGAAAATAGTACGTGGCACGCAATTACATCGGGCGACGGGCTCGCGATAGAATTACCAATTAGGGATCGTCACAAATACAATGGCTAACGACAACGATTCAGTAATTTATCCCCAGTTTTGGCCACCGTATATATATATATATATATATATGTCCCTGTGTGTCGTTGTGAATGTTGAATCACCCATATTGCGTTGCAAATTAATGACAATTAATAACATTAAACATTCTCTCAACTTTTATTCGACATCGACTGTATAAATTTTACCAATTAAATGATTTCTGTTTTTAATAAATCTCAAAATATATTTCTAATACTTTACTAATAAATAAAAATTATTTTTCTTCGCGAAATCATCGTAAGAAAGAAAAAAAAAAGAAATTCTTCCAATCTTTTAATAGTAGGAAAAGAAAAATCTTTTAATGATGACATACATTAGTCAATTTTTCTATATGTTTATTCTTCTTAAATTATTTATTTCGATTTAATTGGAAACGTGAAATTTTATTATTAAATTTTCTTATTAGGAATTGTATTCTCCTACCTTCTTATATAATTAAAACCTCAAGGTAAATATAAAATCCTTAATACACTTAACTCCTGAAAACAACTGAATCTTCTCCTTCTCGTTTTCAGTCGTTTCGAATATTCTCCACTTTCGTAAATCTGTCCGCCATCGTATTGCATCGTGCGCCAACAGGTGCATATATCGCTTATCCGATGTCGATCGGCAGCGACATGTGCGCGAATGCGTTTGAACTAGTCGCGCACTGTCATCCTCGCCACGTTCCATTTGTCGGTCCCGCTCGGAATACCGGGTGGCTCGTTAATTTAGGATCAATTATCGCGTCACGCCGCGTCACCGAGAACGAGGCGTGTCCTAGTGGCATCGGTGTGTACAGACGACCCCTCTCTTCCACGATGCGCATACTTTTCAGCCACGTAAATTTTACTAATTACGTAGTTGCGTTAGCTTTCGTTTCGAAATCGTACGTCCATAAACGATCCTCCTTTCCCTATCTCGTTTATTTTCTTTCTTTTTCTTTTTTTCTTTTTTTTTTTTTTAATCATTTTCGATAAACAGAATTCCATCGATCGAGATGGAATATTAATTTGTTGGCCAACGAAGACGAGAACAATTATTCCCTGGTATTCGAGGAGAAATTTTTCTCATTATTATTAATATAAAATAAAATTTACGATCGAAAAAATTCCAGATTACCGTTTCCTTTTTACTTTGCTTTTTTTTCTTTGATGATTGTAAATCGGAGAAAAAAATCATGTTCAGAGTATTCAGAGGAGTAGGAGAGGAGAATAATGTGGAAAGAGCACATATTTTTAATTCGATTTAATCGGTGGCAACATGTAAGCGGGTTACATAGATTATATCGACCACTGTATTGTGAGACACTGGTATATACGCATACTTTCCAAGTCTGTCTACACGGTTATAATATATGTATATAGAATATGTATAGAAAGATCTACTATATATATATATATATATATATATATATAGGTAATTAGGAATATACAATGTGAGATCTTTTCGTATTCACGCGACCGTGTGCAGTTCCATACATACGCAATAATATAATCTTTCGCGCGGCAATTAAAGATTATCTTGTATCATACATATACACATTAACGAGCATTCGTATTTACAATTATATACAAAGAAAATAAATAATTTAAACGTCTAATCGATAATGATCGTACTCCGCGAACTCGTGTGTACTTACTAGAATCGTATCTATGCCGATATGCATATAGTCGATAAATATAATGGGTTCAGTCTGCGGCCATGACGATCGTACAAAATAACGAACGTCAAACTTTCCGCTTTTCTCTCTCTTTCTCTTTTTCCAACCTACAAATCGCCCGAGATTTCACCGTGATTCAAGATTTATTGCTGCATTTATCGCTAAACTAATCGTAAAATAGAAAATTATTTGGTAATCGCTAGTAATGCAGTTAAGAATTAGACCAAGATGTTATCGCGTCGACCGGTAAATGTCGAAGACCACTTAAAATATCGTTAAACACGCGTTTTCTACTTCCACTCTAGCCCAACTTTCCGTTTCGACAATCAGCAATCAGTGATTGCTTCGATCTTCTTTAATTATTTTTATATTAGTTTGGAAATGAAAATTTCTCTCAACCATATTTCTTTTCGATTAATGATTGTTTCCAGTCACGATTTCCTCCCCATCCTCGTCAACGGGGACCGTCGAGTGATTGTACAGACCTTGGGCCATCAATTGCAGAGCGAGCGGATTTTTCTGCCCGCTCGCCTTTTTGATTTTCGCTCTTTTATTCTGGAACCAGATCTTGATCTGCGCCTCGTTCAATCCCAGATCTCTCGAGAGTTGTTGCCTCCTTCTCTCGGTCAGATATCGATTTTCCGCGAATTCCCTCTTCAATCTTGCCAGTTGTTCCGCGCTGAACGCGGTTCTCGGCCGCTTCTCTTCCGGCGAGCCATTCTTCCCGTTGTGCGATCGCTTCACCCGCCTCGTTCGCGGTCCTGCAAATCATCGGTTAATTGCTCGTTAATCTACAATTCTATCCTCGGCAATCATTCGATTGCAGATTCAATTTTCATCGGATAGTTAAATAAGGTGATGCGGGGATTAACATATAATGAATTTCAAACCGTAAACACGCTCGAATTCGCGACCATCATCCGTAAATCCTATTCCAAACGAGCGATGTAATCGCGTGATGAAAAGCTCGAGCATTCATCAAACTAGTAATCTATCAATAAAATCTTCACTAATAATTCTTCACACGATTACGTAAATAACTGTTAATCGTAATAAAATTGAGTCAACGTTATATCCCTCGATTATCTCTTCATATTGCAACGTGTGAAAGTTACAACCTTATCGCGTCACATTATCGCGTTTTCGTGACTTTTATAAGTAACTATTTAAACCGCACGTCGCTTATGAATATTCATAAACCTCTACGTATCATAAAATCTCGCGTTAATCTCTTATAATTTCTAGTGAAACAAATCGCCCGAACACAAATGTATCAAGAAAATTAAAAAACGTTTCCAAATCATTTCTTCGATCTTAAATGAATTCATCGAGATGTCCGTTCCACTTTTTCCGTTTCATTTAAAAAAAAAAAAAAATTAATCCCATCCATCTTCGTACACACAATTGAACTCCATCTCAAAATTACCCGATTTTAAGATCCATCCATCGATCACCCTTCCACACCCTTCGCTGTTTAATTATCCATGGGGAGAGACGGAGAGCGGGGAACGAAACATTCGATTCGTAATTATCATCGGATGATTATCGGATGTTAGAATCGCGGACCACCTCGATAACACGGATACGTGGCTCGATATCTATGTCGACGACAACGGTCGCATAAGGTAGATATAAGGTTATAAGGTTGAGGGAGAGTTAAGTTCTGCGAACGGGTGCAGGTGGTGCGCTCCAAGTTGTACCGTTCATCCCGGTACAACTCTCAATTACCCATAAACTATGCAGCCACGTTAGTTTCACTCGGATCATACGGTTCCATCCCGAGGTCGAGTTCGAAACTGGTTGCTATTTCTTTGTCGAGGAATCTTTATCGAGGAGGGCTATGTAATTGGGCGAACTTTGTCGCGGCGTGCGCGATTTTTCGATGGCGTCCACCACGGTAAAACGCGTGTTTGATTTACATAGAAACTGGTTTCTAGATGTAACGGTCGGTCGTAAGTAAATTGATTATGCCGATACAGGGAGAAATAGTGGTAACGAGAGTCGCGAGGTATGGCAGGCCGTTCGCGTTCCTCGACTTCCGTGATACTTGCGCGATTAACTGAGATATATCTGTCCCGGGTGAGAGATACAGATTCCGGGAAATGATGGCGGGATTAATCTCGTGCGGACCACCCTGTATAAGCATCGATCAGTTTCGCGGCTCGCGATAAATTAAGGCTATTAATATTTATTATGTTATTCGCGCGCGCGTGTGTGTGTGTGTATAATTTATAGCCGAATAACAGTATATCATTAAGTGTTTCTTTTCTTTTTATCGCTAACGAATTCGAACACTCTGATGAATTGATATAAAAGTATTCGAGTATCTCGATTACACCGGTAAAAGAATTTATTTAACATAACTGGAAACCTACCGGAAGATGGCCTGTCCGAGTATCTGGTACAATAAACCCACGCGGGCCAAGGACTCTGGCCATTGAGCCCGGTTTGATTGGTGGCGGTATTAGATGTACTTCCGGAACTGCTATCTCCGCTCAAGGAGTCGCTGCCGATGGTCGAGGATGTGGAGCCCAAAGAGGGTGCCCCGGTTACGGAGCTTCCGGTGACGGAACTCCTACTGCTCGCTAAACTCTCGAGACTTCCGCTTCTGCTGAGTCCGCTGTTCCTCTGAAGAGGCGACGTAAGCCCGCAATGGGATGAAAACAAATCCCTGTCTCTGTGCATCGAGAAACTGTTAGCTTGGGGCCTTGTCGGAGACAATCGGTTCGACGACAGGCTCAGATCACGTGGTAGCGAAAGAGGGCTGTGACGTGGAATCGGAACTGGGATCGTAGTCGAGTGTCCGGACACCAGAGCGGCCTGGGCTTTCGGGGCTTTCGTATTTAGAATCGCTTCCCGGCCGAAATCAGGTCTCAGGATATTTACCACGCTGAATCTTAATGGTGTCTCGATATCATCTTTATGATCTTGTTGCTGATCCTGGCGAGGGATCACGTGACTCTCGGGTGAACGCACCCGATGATGGTGATGGTGATGGTGGTGATGGTGGCTGCCGATCCCAAGTCGAAGGCCGTACGCGGAATCCATCGTTACGAGAGCTACGCTCATTTTTCGTTCTTCTTGATCGTCCGTATGTAAATAAAAAGCTTCGCTCGTGACTCGGTTGGATGATCGAGTTCCTCGATTAAGGTGCCTTTATTGTCATATTTGTGAAAAATCACATTCGTCGCGTATATCTAGTCTATCAATGTTCACTAAATTGGGGCACTGATTCACGATTTAATGTTTTATATATTTAGAAAGTTTTGCTCGAAAGTTCACCGCACGTGTCACTTCTTCACTGATCTTCCATTGACACAGATCGTTGGTTTGTTGACAGCTCGCGTCACAGGCAGAGAGTTTCAAATCGTCCTTTTCCCGCGTCGTAATATTTGTCAGGGTGGATGCTGGGTGGTATCGCTCACGTGGCCAACCACTTTCAACCGCGAAACATTGTCGCATTTAATGCTCGTATTGCCCGAAGCGAGATTAACGATTCGACTCTGGATCACTTCCAAGAGCGAGAAGTCTCCTTAGTATTGGCTTTTCTCGAGGTTTCCGAGGACTCGAGCGAGTGCTGTGACGGGTCTGACTGGCTGTCCATCCGTCGCTCAGTGATGTCTAAACTAGGGGACCTGTGGTCCCTACTTACCGCTTTCCCCTCCGTCCCCCTCGCCCCTTCACTCCTCCTACGCCCCAGTCTGGAGTGCAGTGCACTAGACACCCTCGATTGTATCTCTATTAACTCTTCAGTCATAGGCTCCGCCCACTGGCGTAAGGTCTACCCTACTCCCCTCCGTTCACTTCCCCCACCACCAGTGGCACGGAGAGTAGGGGGCTGGAGTTAGAGTTTACTACGATCGATGCCACTGCATCGTTCCAGTCTCGTTTCAACGTCGACCAGATTTTTGTCTTATAACTTTTCTTTTTTTCTTCTTTTTTTCATCTCCTTCTACGTATCGCTGTTTTGGGAAAAATATGTTGTCAAGTTTTTTTTTGAAAACATGATTTTCCTTGTAGGAAATACCCGACCATTTTTGGAAAGAATTATACAAACTGATTGCATCTTTGCTCGAGATAGGCATTGGGATTTTTCACTTTTTTTTTTTTAAGAATTTTTTTTTTTTTTGAAACAACTAAGAGGAAAACTTTAATTGCAAGATTTGAAGATAAATATGGCTCGTTACGATACGCTCACGACTAGGAATACTCGCAAATGTTTCCAAGTAATTTGGCAATATCGCCCCAAAAAAACGAAGATATCCGCGCCACTGCGAGTGTCGGTACAAACGCCAGCTTTTCCCCGCCCCGTTTCGTTCCCCCACCACCAGCTGGAACGAAGATCTCGCCCACAATCTTGCCCCTCCCCGGACAGGCCACGCCCACGTCACCTCCCCTCCCACTTTTCGTTATCCACTACTCCATACTTTTGTTCCTCCCCACCTAGATTTCCATCCGTAGAGCAGCTAATTCATTTCTTCGAGTCGACAAGCGTTCTCTCACTGACGTGAATTTTATCGTTCGACGTTCAAATCGCTTTATACAAAAATTTATACCGGAGCATCCACGTCCATCGAGCAACCACCTCTCACCAGTTATCCCCCTCTTTTTAAGGTGGAGCCCCGTGACGGTTAACGAACAAATATATTATCCGTGCTGTAGCAGATGCTACAGATCCAGAACCTATCGCTCGTCTCCGCTCGTTTCTTTTCCTGTTGCCCTTTCCTTTCGTTCAAATGCGTCAATCGATTGTTCGTCCAAAGGTAAACAAGTATTCGATTCATCGTTCAATTTGCATCCATTACGCAATTCACTTTTTCTTTCGTTTTTTTTCGTATAGGTTCAGATATCATTCTCTTCTTCTTCTATCGCATCTGATAAAACGTTAAATTTCTCGGCTCGCTCGATCACAATCGCATACCTGTGTTTCCCGACGTAAAAGGGGTTGTTTCCCCTACCTATACATACTTTTATTACCGGTGAACGAACCTTTATCTTCGAAGCGATCTTAAATCGTTATGATTCTGATACATGTTGTGGACACTCGAAAGGCGTAATTAACTTCATTAGAAACAGCGACGACACACTCGCCCATTAACCAGTAAAGAGAAAATTACAGTCATTAACCCTTTTAACGTCTAATCGCATGAGATTCTCTTCTTCTCGGTGGAAGCGTTATTTGCTCACGACATGGAAAGAACGAACCTACGTATTAGGAGCACGCGAGACTTATAAGGAGCCGTCATTAAAATCCTGCCAATTAAAGCCTGTAACAAAACGTGTATCGCGATATCTACGGTGAGTCACGTGCAAACTAATATATTATCGGCCAAGTAATTAATGAAAATTCGAAAATTGAAGCAGCAACTCACAGTTGGATTAAAAACAATCCTTTATGCCGGAGGTATATATATATATATATATATATATATATATAATGGAGATCGTAGGTACTTGGACAAAATAGGAACGTTAATTCAAGGAAATAAACGTGATTAGTGGAAAGAGCGTGGAATTGAACGTTTTGCAAGATATAGCAGGCAAGTATAATGGGTAATTCTAGCGAAGATAATGATCATAATCGTTGAGTCTCGATTACAACGGAACGAGAGAATAGTATAATCGCGAAAAGTCCACTCTTTACATGTCCATAAAATTTTCTACGTTACACAACACCTGTTCTCCGTGAACATGTTTACGAGCATAACACGTTTTCATCCGTGACTTTCAAAATTATATTTCTAACCATAGTTGGATCAGACGTTGGAGCGAACGGAAGGCAATTCCTTTGTTCCGGCAAGCTGAAGTTTTTGCGAAAAAAAGAAAAAAGAAGAAAAGTACCAACACGTTGTTGGAGAGCACGGTTTTATTAATGACCACACCTAAGTATACCAGCTGCTACGTGAACCACAAAGGAATCATTAGTTCCTGGTTAGATTCGTATAAGAACAATAATAGAGATAGCCGCTATAAATAACCATAACGTGTCTATCCATCAAGAGCGGCTTCGTCTGAGAACAGAATTCTACGCCACTTTCCAGTTCGAACACTTTCGGTTAGTGGAGGGGGAGGGGATAGTCCTCTGAACTAGTTTTCAACGCGATCCTCCTTTAAACTTGCACCGTGCTCCACTGTTATTTGTCGAGAATAGATCGATCCCGATAAATTGATTTAACGATTGATCTAAGATTTGCCCCTCGGGCAAATCGAATTTCGCGTGAAAAATTGCGTTCTACCGCTCCTCCAAGGCTTCGTTTCGAGTTTACATAATCCATTTTGCTTCGCAGAAGAATCTAATAAAACCACACTCATATCCGGGACGTCGTGCTATCTACATTATTACCTGTAACGCGAGAGTGTATAATTTCATTCCCTCCTCGAGAATTGTTACATATTTCCAGTCCAGTCCTAAAGCTTGACCATCCGTCGAGAACAAAAAAAAGCGAGACCAGTTCTAAATTCATTCGAGATATCCCCATGATTCCGACGAGATTTGTAAAGAGAAAAACGGGGCCGATGGTTTGTCCACCCCGAAGTTTGACACTGTCATCCGTCTCCGGGCTGATTACCGTTCAAATGTATTCCAACAAGAACGGATCGTTGGAGGGCGAGGCGTGGTTAATTTCGTTCGTTAGGACACGTACTACTCGCATGCGGACACTCGAGGGGGCTCGGGTGGTCGAAAAGAGAAAATGCCTAGGGCGAGACCAATCGCGACGTCTCGTACGTCAGGGATTGATTGGGTTTTTCGTTCGGCTTGAAAAAGGAAGAATGGGACGCGGGGATCTTGCAGCGACGATCATTATTCCTCGAACGCGATTTGTAAACGGGTTCTATTTATGGCACTGCAAACTCTATAATCAGCCGCCGCAGGGGCGACGACTTATTTAGAATAATTAATGCTGGTACGACCTCGCGAACCGGTTGCCGGCCAATCGCGATAACGGCCTCCCCTCCATATGGCCCATAGAGGGGAAGCGAGGGGCGTGGCCTATCGGCGGACCCGCCCACCCCGCTCGATCCACATGCAACCTCGCGTGCAAACTCCCCGCTTTTCCCCCTTCTCTTTTTCCATGTATCGCCACTTTTTCGAGAGGCTCGCGATATTTTCTAGAGCAGAAGCGAAACCTGCGCGTAACCATGCGCGTCCGGACGAGCATCGCGCAACTTTATCCTTTATCCGTGGAAGTCTACACCAGTTCTTTTCTTCTTCTTCTTCTTTTTTAGATAAACGTTTATAAATTGTGGACTAAAAGACATCTTCTTTGAATACGTTGCAACGCTTCTTCGTGGTATTTATTTTCATCGGGAGTTATTGGGTGTTAAATTTTTTAATACAATTCCATCAATTTATTATTAATAATCGATCAATAATTGATCGATATTCCATAATTTATTATTAACAATCGTACGAAATTTTTGTACGATAATAATAAAAGATAAAAAAACGGAGACGTCGAATAAAAAAATCCCGGTTCGATTCGATAAAAGATACGCGCCTCGGGACGAAATATATACACAATACAATCGAACGGCAAAACCAAAACAATCGGCGTAACGCGCGCAAGCGTGTCTTATATCGGAGGACGAGGTGGGGACGAGAATAATAAATACTATATACGAGACGCGTGAACCCGTATAACTACGCGATCAATCGAGCTGATTGAAAGTATCCGACGGGTAGGGCTGTCGTGCATCGACGAAAGTGCACTTCCTCCTTCCCTCGGACACACGGACACACCCCCGCGTGCCCTACGGCGAAACACCATCGATGATTCCCCTAATCCCGTTTATAAACACTCGACGACCACTCCCACCTCCCCTGCTGCGGAGGGATGATGCCATTCCTACCCTCCACCGCCACGGAGAACGTCGCCCGCTCGTTTTCACAGCCTGTTACGCGTCCTGCGAGATCCTGCGCCCCTGCTATATTTATACGTCGGCTGAGATAATGCACACCCGGTACATACGAAGATAACCGCACCCCAGGGATGCGGTATGCTGCTTATGAACCGTTCTAACGCGATGGGGAACCGCAAAGTGTACTGATTTATCGGCGGGGATGTGAT